TTAGGTTGCCTGAGGAAATTTAAAAGAAATATGTATTTATACTTTTAGAGTTGCGTTCATTACAGGTTGATATCAATTGGCAAACCACTGAAAACTTGAGAGTAATGGACAGTTATTTCGTCCTAGTACGGAACTCATCAGCAGTCCATATCAACGACCCTGCCAAAAATCAAACTCAAAACCTTAAGGTTTTGCGGCGAACGCGTTAACCGTTCAGTCATACTTTCCTACTTTTGTCATTCCGTAATACAGTGCAACTATCCACCAAGTTCTCTGAACCATTTGCATTCCAACCCAATAGCTGAATAATTAACGCACTCACCGTGAAACTTAAAGGTTCTGAGTTTGATCCCTGTCAGGGTTGTGGACAACTACAGCCAAGAAGGTCTATACTAGGAGGGAACAGCGGTCCAGTACTCTGGTACTCCAATGGTTTGCTAATGGATATCAGTCTGTGATGAATACAACCTTAAAAATGAAATCACCATATATATATATATATATATATATATATATATGAGTAATCAAAACTTTAAAGGAATACCTTTTGTTTTCCCAAGGGAGTAGTCGAATCATCTGATAAGTCTTTTCTAATGGATAGTGAATCATTTGTAAGTTTCCACTGATTAGCACGCAAACAATCCACTTGTTTGAATAAATTACGAACATCATCTACTTGAAGTGATACCATTGCCCAGAATCCATCCAGATCACTTAATAAAGTGACCAATGTTGTATTGGATTCATTTACAGAATTGTCAACATTATCTTTCGAATTTTCCCAAGATAGATTTTGATGACATAAGCCACGAAATTGTGAAAACTTCTCAGAAATCAATAGTTTTGCTTTACCACTAGCAGTGCGAAGGAGGCCAGAAACTAAAAAATGATCAAAATGTTGATAATGTCTAAAAGTAGGATGATTTTATGAATGGAACTCATGATAGGAAATGTTAAAATGTCTAGAGCTATCATTGTTATATTATCTAAATGATCTGGTATACGTCAACGGGATGGGAATAAGTGGATGGATCATTATTCCCTTTTCTTCCACTTGTCAGTAGTACTAGTGTAGTCGGCGCTGCTGATCACAATGGATATAAGTAGTATATGTTGAGAGGGCAACAGAAATCATAGGGAATTACCAGCAAATAGGTAAATATTCTGCCCAGAGAAATACAAGAGACATTGTGGGCGTATTAAGAGCAAATCGAGACAGAAGCATAATACGAAATGAAGCACATTGTGCAAATGACTGTACTAGATGTCAACAATAAACATTCGTTCCTGCATCTCAGTTTTATCGTTTCCTACATCAACGGGTATAAGAAACATGGTAGTTTTATTCTTGATATGGAAGTCATCGCGTTGTGTCATCATCTTGAAAGTATTTATCTTTACCACCATTTTGTACAATAATTCAACCTTTTTTCAAGAATTTTCATTCCCAGTGCGTTCAACTGTCATCAAATTTTGAATTTTTTTGACAGTATAATTTGCTCAGGTAGTTTATCCAGTTGGGTGGCAAAAAAACTGCCATGTGGAAGAGACTTGCGTAACTTTAATCGACGTCAAACTACTCAGTTAACAGATTATTCCTATTAACTTAATAGGAAATATCTTTGAGGAACATGGAGACAAGTTGGTACAACTTGTTACTTAGGAGGCATAATTCACAGGGGGGAGGGGAGAATCAACTAATCGTTGAAAATATGATTTAGACACTCGGAGTGATATAAAAAGCATGAAACTCATTTTTTTCGCGAAATTTAAAACTTTTGCCTTCATTCCTGCTTACGTCATATCAACTGGTAATAAGACTATCTGGTCATAAACATACTAATAATTGTAGTGCCAAAACCCTTCTATTCTGTCGGTTGAAGTTTCATGACTTTCATCGTTTGCAGAATGAAAGGCTGGAGGAGATGTAATAGACTTAATATTAGCATTGAGATGTCAAGCACAAGTTGAAGAGAATACGCTACGCTTCACTGAGTCTTGTGTACTATTTAACAAGGGTACAGGTGGCTGACACTTCCCGCCTACCCACACCCTGGAAGCTTATTCATTATTATGCTACATCAAACGGAAAAAGGTTTCAGTAACCGCAGGGTCCACCAGACACCAGTCTCAGACCTGTCACACATGCACTTTCCAGGATGTTGTTTTCAGGTTTGGTTGTCATAACGCCTGACTAAAAAACCCATAGCATCGGCACCAGAAGATTGTAGGGCAAATAGGAATGTGTTATTTTCAACCACCCGTCCTTCTTTTAAGGAACACAGCATCTGTCTGGCACTACTAATCATCCAAAGGAAGCAACATACTGCTGTCACACCCTATCCACCTAGCAGTAATACGACCTCGACCTCAGACCCCACACCACACCACACCACCTCACCTCACCCCCACCATCATACTGTAGCAACTTACACTATGATGGTGACTGCTTTCGCTCTTACCACTCACTACCTAACAAACCTTTTTCGCATGGTAGGAACAAACCTTCCAGCCAGTGCTGCTTCTTCGCTCATTGTGATATGCAAGCCCGACCACCACGTCAACGTGGCAGCTATCAACTGGGTAATAGAAGAAATAATAAAAAACATAATGGTGTTTGAGTGAAATTTGTTTATCGGAAAAGTTGGATTTCAACTTTTTACGATACTCAGTCAGTCCAATATTTTTCGACGAAAACGAAATGAGTAGTTGTAGACACTCTAAGTCGATCGGCATTGTTAATCAGAATAATCTAAATACTGAGAACCTGTTCATCTAATCACGACTGAATTCATAATACCTAGTGGTGTATATCAAACATCTGGGTATGCTCAACAATTCGTTGTCGTTTGCGATGTTGAGGAGATCAGATGCTATAATCAAAATATCCTACTTTCAGAAAGAAAACTATGAAACTTCACAACAGGCTTTTGTTTATATGTGCCATTTTCACTTGAGACTGAGAAGTTTCCAAACAAGTGATTTCAATTTTTTTTAGCCATAACTACCGGTTTTGATTACATCATTAGAATAGTATCACAACCAGACAAGCAAATAAATCTTAATCCTACTTGGTTGAAATAAATAAACCCCTTTTTTGAGGGTTTTTTGGCAATAAAACCATTTTAGACTATTAAAAGCAGGAATATAAAACTTTGACATGATTAAAATAACTTGTAAGATTTTGTAGGCAGAAGATATATTGCAGCTGCAAATAGTGTAAAGTTCATCTTCTAGGCGAATATATGTTAAAGGTTTATATAGAAATCATAATAAACCCAATGCTGTTCACCGAAACCATAATCGAAGATGTACCTCTTCTTCGATGACGATTAGGGTGTCTTCAGCATTTTATTATAAGTAGTATTATTTGTCCCTTGGGTTCCTAGTGGAAAATAAGGCTTCAGTGGCACTCTGTTCTCGGAAGTCTTTTTAACCTGGCTCCACGACTGCTCAGAAGCTTTCATTTCTTCCTTACACTGCCTCCTCAATGTCACACTCGCCTCGGACGCCCAACTCGTCGTTGACTGCCACTCTATACTCTGTTCTATGATGATGCACATAGCAGCTTTCCAATTTGATCAGCACATGATTTGTTTTCCTGAATCCAGTCAGCCTGTTCCTGTCGTAATTTGAATCAAGGGTACTTCTAAGCCTTCCCAGGATGACGCGGCTCACTACTTTGCTGGGAGTGGACAGAAGCATGATTCCGCGCCAGTCCTTGCGGAGAATTAGGTCTCCCTTCTCTGGGGTTTGACAACGTAATCCGTCTTCCAATCGATCACCAGGTATCTTTCATTCCTTACTTCCCAACCTTCTGCAGTAGTGGTGTCAGCATGCAAGCCATTGTCTCCGTGGCTGTTTTCAGTACTCCTGGTGGAATTCTATACCGTTCTACTGCTTCCCCGAATTTCAGCAGCTTTACGGTGTTCAGGACTTCGGCTTTTGTCGGAGAACTTATGTTCACTGGTAATTCCATAGCTGCTGGTGGTATTTCTGGTCGCGTTGCAGGTGGTGGTCGATTCAAGAACTTTTTGAAGTGGTCAACCCATTTTTTCATTTGTTTCTTCTTTTGGCTAACTAGGTTTCCTTTACTATCTCTCACTGATTTCATCTGTGTTGATATCTTCCCAGATAGTAACCTGACCACCTGATATAATGTTTTCAGGTCTCTGTCTCTCCTACCCACAGCCTGTTCTGCTAAACTTCCGAGTGTCTCGTAGAAGTGTCTTTTGTCATTCCGTGCAATCCTCTTCACTTCTCCCTTCAGTGTTTTATAGGTGGTGTTCAGTCCCCCTTCTCCTTGTTCACTGAACTGCACTGCACTTCTGCATCTGCTTCACCATCTCCCTCTCCCTTCTTTCTCTATCACATTCCATGTATCCGTTGAGATCCATTCACTGTCTTGTTTCCTCTCCTTCCTAATACGGTTATGCAGGTTTCTTCCCACATAGCTTTCAAAGAGTTCCACAGTTCTTCAAATCACCTTTCTCCAGGAATGTTGATCAATGTCTCCTATTTCGTCCTAATGGCTGGCAGGAACAAATCCTCTCAAATTCCGTCCTTCAGTTTCTGGGCGTTAAACTTGAACTGTGTTCTAGCATCAACTTCTGTGAAGGCTTTCAATTCGATTTGAAGGTTTCTTGCAAAGGATAGTCGGTGGTGTGAAACTACATCTGTTCTCCTTTCTCATATTGTGGCCATTAGACTGCGTTTCCATTCCTTCAGATTAAATGAAGTTGATCTCATTTTTAGTGTATCCATCTGGTGAAATCTGTGTCGCTCTATCAATATCCTTGTGTTTGCACACACTACCTCCAATCACCAAGTCATTAAATGAGCAGATGTCTGTAAACAGTTCTACATTCTCCTTCATTTTACCGAGTGCTTCTCGATCCATGATGAATCCTCTTCCTGTGTTCTCCACTCCCACTTTCGCATTCATCTCACCCCACCTATTAGAATTTCGATGTCACCAACTGGAGTGGTGTCTTGTCCTGTACTGATTACAGTTGTCTGTAGAATTCCTCCTTCTTCTGTTCATCTGCATTATTTGTAGGTGCATAGCATAGTGTAGCATTGTATGATTGTGACCTTCCTTTGCATTTGAATCTTCCCTTCATGATCCTGATCCTGGAGGAGGAGATTGGTTTCCACTGTATGAGAGCCTTCGATGTTCTTGGAGACATCACGATAGCCACTGGAAACCTTAGTGTGCTGTTCTCGTGGTTGTCGTCTGGGTGACAATATTGGAGTAGATTATCGACTCCTCTTCAGTTGACAGTTTGGTGAGTCCACTTCCATTCCATCTGCAGATTCTTCACAGATTCCTACCACTTCTATGCTATGCCTTCTCATGTCTTTTGCAATCTGAGCAGCCTTACCAGGCAGCTTCAAACATATTGCGCGCATTGCACGTCCCTATTCTTACTTTCGCTCTCGTCGAGAGAGAGAAGACACGTTGGCCAGTTGGCTTCTCTATGGCTTTCTACCAACCGGCGTCATTTCGATTCCCCGACTCCAGCGAGGTTTATTTTTATTTTTATAGTTTCTTTGTGTTTTGAAGTTTCTTCAGCGACTGAACTGGTTTAACGGGGTAGGGTTGCTAACCCTATGCCCAACCTTCCCTCTTTACCCGGGCTTAGGACCAATCAGTAACTAGTTAACTAGTTAACCACGCGAGGTTTGTCTTCAACATAGTGATTCGATATCAGGATAATACATGCTCATCACAACAATGTGAGACGCTAATGGTATCACTAAATACGCAGAGATCAGACATACAACCAACCTTAAATTTCACATAACTGTCTATACCAAATATCTCGAAACTTTCCTGATGGTTACGATACATTTGAGATAATTTTTTATAAAAATAAGGAATTTTTGCCCTTATTTACATCAGCAAACAATGAACAACAGATATTTTGCGAAGGCTGTGCCTACAACTCGGTAGATGGAGCGGCGACCAAACAAACCAAGCTTCACTTAATTAAATTTTTAAAACACTACGAGAATGAACAGATAACATAGTTCCTATATCACAAGTAAACAACAACGGCAACAGGGAGTCAATGATATACACTAGAGCATAAGTTATTGATATGCTACAAACTGTATCATCTCTACAGAGTTGATACATAACAGTTTAATGAGTGAAAGTGTGTATTGTATCTAACTAAGAAGTTCAAGTTATGTAGGTGACGTCATCTTTTTGCCATATAAACAATGGTAATAATAATGATAAAGGGGATTAAAAACATACCTTCATCATCCATTCCTTGATCATTTCTAAGATCATTTTCAACTTCAGAAACTTTATTCAACAATTCTTTTTCTGTTTGATCAACTTGTTTAAGATAATAATTTCCATCTATTTCAATATTTGATTGATTTAAAATTTTCTGTGGTGTATTACTATTATTCAATTCTTCGGAATGGTCATCAATTATAGATAGATCTTCATGAAGTATATGTGTGAGAGATTTATCAACTACAAAAATTGAAAGAATTTAGCTAATTACTGTGAAGTGTATCATTATATAGGGAGAATATGAATGTTGAAACCTGCAGAAACAATGTTCAGTGATACGTTTACATTCTTGATATCTGGTTGGAGTATTTTCAAAACAAGTTGAACTAACAGTAATATGATCGAAAATTTGAGTAGAGCAAATAAGTGTAACATAAATTTCCGCTTCGATTCGCAAATAATACGAGCTATATATACTTGTAATCCGCGTACGATGAGTAGGTATACTACATGAAGGGAGGTATAAGCTTACATTAAACATTCATACTTATCAAATGAAAAATGCCAATTTAGTAGTAAGCCTGATGAGTGAATAGCCAGAAAGCAAGTGTTAAAACTATCGAAGAGACTATTCACAGTAGTTTTACATGCTTTTAAAATAATAATAAAATTCTATATAAACTATGTTGTGGCATTATCTTAGTATACATTTGGACAATAAATTCTATCTGAAACATTATTCAGCAAAAAAATAAAACCCATCCATTGTGTGATTCATCGGATAAACCAAATAAAACGCAAATATCATTCACATAGAGGCAAAATCAATGCAGAATCTCGCACATAAGTGCATCAGCTGAAGTTTCAATGACTTAATATTAGTATCGGGATATGAAGCACAAGTTGAAGAGAATACGATACGCTTCACTGAGTCTTGTGTACTATTTAACAAGGGTACAGGTGGCTGACACTTCCCGCCTACCCACACCCTGGAAGCTTATTCATTATTATGCTACATCAAACGGAAAAAGGTTTCAGTAACCGCAGGGTCCACCAGACACCAGTCTCAGACCTGTCACACATGCACTTTCCCCGAATGTTGTTTTCAGGTTTGGTTATCATAACGCCTGACCAAAAAAACCTATAGCATCGGCACCAGAAGATTGTAGGGCAAATAGGAATGTGTTATTTTCAGGGAAAACCTCTTCAACCTCGTCCTTCTTCTAAGGAACACAGCATCTGTCTGGCACTACTAATCATCCAAAGGAAGCAACATACTGCTGTCACACCCTATCCACCTAGCAGTAATACGACCTCGACCTCAGACCCCACACCACACCACACCACACCACCTCACCTCACCCCCACCATCATACTGTAGCAACTTACACTATGACGGTGACTGCTTTCGCTCTTACCACTCACTACCTAACAAACCTTTTTCGCATGGTAGGAACAAACCTTCCAGCCAGTGCTGCTTCTTCGCTCATTGTGATATGCAAGCCCGACCACCACGTCAACGTGGCAGCTATCAACTGGGTAACAGAAGAAATAATAAAAAACATGATAGTGTTTGAGTGAAATTTGTTTATCGGAACAGTTGGATTTCAACTTTTTACAATACTCGGTCAGTTCAATACTTTTTGACAGAAACGAAACGAGTTCAACATTTTTTATTCGCGAAGGCATTAGGATAGAAATGTTGAGGTAGGTGAGAAGTTGGTCTAGCAAATGAATTTTTTGGCATACGCGCATAGGTAAATAAATATAGTTGGAGGTAACGTAAGGAGGTACTTACAGTAGTATGCATGTTGAGGAAAGCTTCCCAGTGAGAAGTGTAAAGCTACTTAATAGTGCCACTGGTATACACATTTTGGATACTAGTCATGCCATCACCTTAAGCATAGCTTTCAATCTAATCAGTAAAAAACAATTAATAGTAGGTTGCTACATAATGTAGAAGCAGTAACAATCCGTAGACCTAAAGCGAAACTGCGCATACAAAAGGAGTTTGTAGTTCATCCTGAACTGCCTTCACTTACTATTTTATTCTTCCATCTTATTGTCTTCCACATTATTATTTCACATATATACAGTATAAAAGAAATTTGGTGAAATGTTCGAAAGCCAGAGCAAGAAAAATCTGCTCAGACGACAGTCTACAGAGAGAATTAGAGTCCATTTTGAATTCATTAACTTCAATTAATAGGTTATCCTAGCAATTTTTTTTTTAAAGCATATGAATGGATCACAGAGAAAACTTGGAGCAGCGACTGCTCAAAAGAAATCACTATTCATAAAGCTACAATTTAATAGAGATAGGCTAGGCGACATCCTATTCCATAGACTATCAAAGACCATTAAAACAACCTTTTGTGCAACTAATCTCTATCTCTGTCTATCGTTTTCTAGTTGATGATTTGTTTCGTGTTACAAACGAAGGCCAAGTTACTTAATTTTACCACTTCAGTGTGTTTTTATCAGTTTAATTGCTCCTGTGGAGACAATTATATCGGGTGTACGAACACCCAACATACTATCAAATACCTACATTTGTGACTGGGAAACTGACAGGTTAAATCCACAAGAAGCCCTAGTTTGTAACACCTAGTTAGTTGATAGTGGTCATAGAGTGGATAAAACGAAAGCGTTCAGAGTGATGATTTACCACATCCAAGCGAACCTTTCCGATGGAGTTCGATCTCATCTTTTCGTATATAGGTGAGGCTATAAGAATTTGAATCAACAATCCAAAGCTGTGTATTCAAAAGAAATATGTACAGCCTTTATCCTTGCCTTGGCCAGGGAAGATTTAATGAATGACTTTACTTCTGAATCTTTAAAATGTACTTCTTCCCCTTTTTATTTCATTTTTGTCACTCCCTTTCACATCATTAGTGTATTGACACTCAAACTTTGTTTATTCACTGTCTTCATCCTTCAAGATTATGCAATCGTATTGTTCTTTTCCTAGCTTTGACCTACTTTGTTTGTCTGTCTGGACACCTGTTTACATCACCGTGTTATTTTGAACATTCATATTATCCTTCATATTACCACTAGTTTCATTATCCTCAAGCACAAAGTCCGTATCCTTATTATTGTTGACTCACAAATTACTTCAGCTACTTCATATTTTACACATATGTTAAAAGTTATATATATTAAAGTGAAGTGTGATGAGTTCGCATTGAAAACACTATTGTTCACTGTCAACCACCATTGATATTCGCATCGTTGTGGCGCAGATGTATACACACATTCTCCTCATCTTAACGACGCTATACCAAATCTCACCATTTTCTCATTCTTTCTTTCTCTCTTTTAATATTCTTTATATTTCTTTTGATTGAATTTTCTATTCTCCATCTTCCACTCCACTGCCTTTTTACTTGATGTACTGATATGAGGTGTAGCGGCAACTCGGAGGGTTACTCAGTAATGCCTGGTCATGTATGTCGATTTGGATCGATGGATGGATGGATTCGCATCGTTTTCGATTTATTTAGCTTTTTTTTTTATAAATATGATGTTCAGTATATCTTTGCTTACTATTTAACCAGTATTAACTGGTAGATTTTGTTATTCTCCCCCCTTTTATGAGATTTCCTACCCCACCTTCAACTGTAATTATAATCATGTTGACATCATATTATTTCCTATGCACTTAATGAACAATTTCATAGTCTGATATGTTATTTCACTTGTTCCCTGTACTGGTTTGATTACGTCATGGACTCTGTCATTTATTGACGTTCTCATATATTACGTAATGATGTCTAGATGTATTTGGTGTTGGTTAATCTTACTATTGAAATGCACCAAATACCTTATACTGGATACTGATAGCTTCCTGTAATAGATGAATGCACAAAGTTTTGAAAGGGATACAAAATTTCTAAGAACGTTGACGAAAACACCTTATGGCAGATAGGAAAACTACAGAAAGGAGTGGAAAACAAGTAATCACCTGTATCTGTTTGACAATGTGATATAGTATTTTGTTCATTTTGACTTTCACACACTGCTTCATATGTAGTCGTAGCATCTGAAACACTGAACACAAAAGGTTTATTCATCACTGTGGCTGTCGGTGTTACAACACGACCACGAGGACTAGCATGAGCAACTGCCAACATGATAAGTGAAGAACGATTCCAGTGTTGTTGATCATCGGTATTAGCATTATGACTGGTTGTCTACAAATATACATACAAAAGATTAGTGAAATAACCAGTGATACTTAAGAAGCATATTCGACATCTACATAACGAATCTACTACACAACAAATCGATTGTTTGTTGTCTTATTTCGAAAGGAATGAGGAAAAAATTCCTTTATTGATTATGATATTGTCAGCTGTTTCCTTAGGTGTTTCGTGTAAACAAATGCGTACAAAAGGTGATCAACAAGAAAAATTATACCAAACATATAAAAACCTTTAAAATAAAAAATGAAAAACTAGTACATTTATGCCACTAAAATCGTAGCAGTATAACGCATGGTGCAAATATTCAGCCTGTAGATGTCAAAGAATGAATACATCCGCGCCATTGTGACCGATTTTCACCCATGTCGCCAAGAATCGGTCCTTAAACATAGATTTCTTTCGTCTCGGAGACCCCAACCAGGCAGTCTACATCTCTCCACACAACTCAGAACAAAACTCAGAGACTTCATGGACTTGTGACACGTGTTGGTTTGGCCACTCTGAGCCCTGTGTAAATCTCATGCATGGCACGTCAGGCAGGTGGTGGCTTGGCAAACGCAGTACATATCCCAGCTATTTCAGTCAACTCAGGTTCAAAACCTATTCAATCGATTTGCTTGACTTGCCTAATACACAGTACGATAATATCGTTTGCATACTTCAAGCCAGCCAGATGATCTCCAGGAAGTAGATGAATCCCAGTGAAGTTACATGTACCCAAGGTTATGTCCATTAGTGCATCTGGAACGAAGTTAAATAGGATCGGTGACAGTGGACATCTCTGGTGGACACCACTAGTTATCGTCAATTCTGATGAAAACTCTCCATAACGCCTTACACGGCTGTATGAGTTCGAGTAGTTATATACTTACATCAGTTGCCTCGATTACAAATTGTGTCAGACTGAAGCAAACCGATGTAGGAACAAAATAGATTCATAATGTACATGTATATAAATTAAATATTCATTAATATTGGAATTCTTTATCTGACAAACATCCAAAATACGCTTGAAGACCAGACAACCATCATCCTCACATTCAGCGCTACAAATTTTTCCCATCATTTCAAAATTTAACAAATCATCCTAGTTAGTGGGCTTAGCTAAGAATAAAAATGGTAACGTGCTGGCCGCATAACCTGAAGGTCGCGGTTTCGATCCCTGGCAGGGTCGTGGGTGCGCATTGCTGAGGAGTCCCATACTAGTTGGACAAAACAGCTGTCCAGTGTTCCCAAGTTTCTTTTGTTCCTCCACCAACTGATGTAGGCCTGATGTCAGTCTACGATGAATAACAACTTAAAATATTTCCAAATCTCTACAACTCCCTCAAAATTCAATTGAACTGGTGCTCATTAATGACTAGCTTCGAGAAGTATTCACGAAGTTCCAATGGGAAGTTGTGACCGGTGGAGTCAAAGCCTGATAGTCATGAGGACAGTTACTCAACGAATAAAATAGAACCCTAATGTCTCTGATTTTAGTCCGATGTAAACATCATAACATGTTATGTGCTTCGTTACGATGAATAAGATCATCAGCTAGCAGAATCTTCAAGAAATATCTTCATGAATAGAGCTTGAACAAGATTAGATCATCATGACGATAAATTCGTTGAGATAATGAAAGTGTCTGAAATGTAGCGAACAATGATTATTCTATTATCATTTGACTACATGAGATAGTCATAGTTTGGCAGACTAATATTTATATTCGGTGATGATTGAAGAAATGAAAATTTGGACCATGGTTGGATTCGAACCAGCGACCACTGGGGTTTCCTATCTGATGCTCTCTTTACCCGGTGGTCGCTGGTTCGAATCCGGCAACGGTCCAAATGTTGATTTCACCTTCAATCATCGCCAGTGATTATTCTGTTACAGAGGAGCAGAAATGAATGTTGATTAAGTTAAAGCACCCCCCTCCCCATCAATGATTGTCTACACCTATGCGTGACTGCAGTGATTCATGAGCTCGGACTTCAAAAAATGGATATTTAAAAATTTCTTTGAAAGAGGCTAATTTCACTACCAATAAATGATGCTAAATATTGTGATAGCATACACTTACTCTTTTCCTTCTCAGTTTAACATTTTCCATACTAAAATCCAAAACATCACCATGACCAGACTACATGAAAAAGGGGAAAACAATGTACTGAAGCGTCATGAACTGGTATATATATATATATATATATATATATATATATATATATATATATATATTACAATCGAAATGCAAAGCTGCAAAATACCAGAGTGGAAAACACAACAATCGGTATATATTTGAACTAACCATCTTAGAATAAAGCATAAGTGACCTCCAATATCAGTTATTAAATATTATCATTTTCATTTGGTTAAGTGTTTTTTTTAACGCCTTTCCAATATTAACTCCACGGTTAATCGAATGATTACAATTAGTTACACGTAAACAATCCTTACTATACTCCAATTCCTTACGCAACGATTATGACTATTAGAAAGAAAAAGGTTTCACTTCACTGTTTCTCATCTACTTGTGCTTCATTTTTTGTGGATCGAAATTTGTGTGAAAAGATCGTTGATCTTGAAAAATCCTTTTTCAGGTAAAAAAAAAAACACACTCTGTAGGCAAAATCTAAACAAGGCACTTGTCGGAATTGTAACATTATCAAGATGAATGTGAATTTTTTGTGTATTAGAAATCATTAGAACCAGTGAACTTAGAAATGATAAACAACAGTGAAAACGGTGAATTCATTACCACCCTGGTTACTTAAAATGGAACTGGTTTTGGAAGAAAATCAACCTCTTAAATAACCATATAATTAAGTATACAAGAGGATAGTTTGTTAATTACCAAGTAGCTTAAAGTTCTAGTCTTTGATGTTTTTTGGAAAATAAGTTTGATCTCAATCGATTACAGGCAGTTGTTACTTAGTTGTCTATAAATTTATGTAGAAAATATTCAACTTGAAGAAAGTGAGAAAAGGTCTGTTGAATTCCTGTTGTTATTAAACTTTGAAAGAACACAGAAATGCTTATTATCTGCCAACTATATAGGAAAGAAGAAATTAAAGCTGAGCTAAACTTCATGTATGCAAAATAAATTACAACTGAAAGAAATCGATAAACCTACTTCAGTTCGACGGCATGATGAAGTGGATATCCCCAGTGTTGATGGACTTTCACATTTTTCTCTTTCACTTTGTGTTAAAGAAATTGATCCTTTCTTATCAGTAAGTATTGATTCATAATTTCGAATTGTTGAACTAACACTTCCATCATGAGAAAGAGATATGGGTAGATCACTATTATTGCCAAAACGATGTTTATTGGTGATACAAGAATTCTTTGTGTTGGTTAAGTTATTTACTGATTTTGATGTTGAACCATATCTGGTATAACCAAATGCTGCCACAGATACACCAAGATAACTCGGTGTGTCTAGAATAAAAGATAAATGTTGCATTTTGAATATGAAAAATAAACAAATTTTGAGCAACTAGCAAAATGTGACCATGCTTCTTTTGTGTGTTAGTTTAGGTAGGTAGGTAGGTAGGTAGGTAGGTAGGTAGGTAGGTAGGTAGGTAGGTAGGTAGGTAGGTAGGTAGGTAGGTAGGTAGGTAGGTAGGTAGGTAGGTAGGTAGGTAGGTAGGTAGGTAGGTAGGTAGGTAGGTAGGTAGGTAGGTAGGTAGGTAGGTAGGTAGGTAGGTAGGTAGGTAGGTAGGTAGGTAGGTAGGTAGGTAGGTAGGTAGGTAGGTAGGTAGGTAGGTAGGTAGGTAGGTAGGTAGGTAGGTAGGTAGGTAGGTAGGTAGGTAGGTAGGTAGGTAGGTAGGTAGGTAGGTAGGTAGGTAGGTAGGTAGGTAGGTAGGTAGGTAGGTAGGTAGGTAGGTAGGTAGGTAGGTAGGTAGGTAGGTAGGTAGGTAGGTAGGTAGGTAGGTAGGTAGGTAGGTAGGTAGGTAGGTAGGTAGGTAGGTAGGTAGGTAGGTAGGTAGGTAGGTAGGTGAACAGTTAGCACAACAACAAACACGTATATATGACAAGCATATACATAGACCACTAGTTACAACTTACAGTTAAATGCTGTATTCAAAGGAGATTTGGAATAATTGGATATTGCTAATTGTGAAATTTTTGCACTGGATTGAGAAATATTCTCCAATTGATGTAAAGTATCTACTTTATTATCATTTGTACAGTGGTCAGCAAGTGAAACAAATCTGTGACTTTCACTATCAGCCGAGTCAATACTATCATCACGTAATACTATGGAGCTTAAGGGTGAACTGGTAGTGGCTGGACATGAGAAATGATCTTCGTCATTCTTTGATGTATCACGGTAACAGTATACAGTGGGTGATGAACAGCTGGGAGATGATATTTTCACCTCAGTGTGTATTTTATTAGCACGAACTAGCAAAAGAAAAGCATGTGGATTTTTTTAAAAAAAAGGAAGTAATAACAGGCAGTGATTACCGCATACTATATAACAACTTTCATTAGTTATTACCTTTTCAATTAGCCATCGTTATTATTCTATCTTATCATTCATCAACATATTTATTCTTAATGACTAGCTTAGTCCACAGCTGAATAGAACAATCAAAACTATCATACTCCCATGCCTATTAAAATGCTCAATTCCCTTTCGCTGATAATATTTGTTTATCTGGATACTTAACAGTTTACAGTAGAAGACATGAAGTGGTCAAAGGTTTCCGATCGTAGCAGTGCTCAGGTATGACAGAATCACCGTGTGAGCAATTCTTAAGTCAAGCGAGGGGTACTAGGCAAGATTGAGATGGTTTGAAGATGTACTGCGCACGCAGTTACCACCTACCTTAAAGTGCCATGGAAGAGGGATCAAAGTGGCTAAACCAAAACATGGCACCAGTTCACGAAGTTTCTGACTACTGATCTGAACCATGTTGAGAAATGTAGACTACTCAGATCCCCGAGAAGATAGGAACCAATGGTTGAGGGATGACTGTTGGTGACATGGTTGAAAGTCGGTCATAATGGCGCAGATGTATTCACTCCTTGATATATTAAGCTTGAATATTTGAACTATCCGTTATATTCAAATTGTTTATTCTTTCACACAACTTTGATACTACCCTTTTCCAACACTTATTTTTTGTATAGTACTATATAGTGTGGCAACTTGGATCAATGCACTTGTGTGCGAGATTCTACGCTGATTTTGTCTATCTATCCGCTTTACAGTATAAGTGAAATAAAATGCCTTGATTTACTATAGGCTGGGTGGCGAACATTAAACGTTATAAGACAGTGAATATGCGTATTGGTCTGGATGGTCATATTTCACATAAAAAAGGTCATGATGAAAGCAACAGGAAACTTACTCAGTTAACAACAAAAGAGAAAGCGATGAGAGGGGGGGGTAAATACAAAGAAATAATTTCATTCAGACACAGTGACAAAAGTAAGACGGTAGGCGAGAAGTGAAAAAAAAGTAAAAGAAATTAACTTTTTTAAAAAGGTCATTATATCCTAGACAATAAGATTACAAGATTCTAGTGAGAATAAAGAGTGAAAGCATCGCTGTGTTTGCACTTGGTTGAGATATCACTCCAGGCTATCAATTAACAGTTTTAGTTGCTTTGCAGACCCCCCAAACAACAAACCTGAATTTTTCTGCATAACTCACGTCAACAGTTATTGTCTTGATGGACTAATGCCACTTTTTGATGAGAAAAATGGAACGCCCTTCTCTTAATTCGTTAAAAATGGCTTAAGTTTATGAAAGCTAATAGTATCTTCGACATGTGACCGTCGATTGCCTTTGCCGCCAGACTAATAGAGCCAATGAGACTTTGCAAGTTGGTGAAGTCGTCACTATGCACAGTCGTGACCTGTTCGTCAATTGCCGTCGAGTATTCGAAGTACAGCAATTTATCAGTACCTGTACCAAACAGAACTATGTTATCCAACTACTAGGCGAATGAGTGTCTTCTGTGAAACTTATTCCTTTGAAATCACAAGCAAGAGGCGTGACACCATTGAGCATATCTATACTATAGTCAGAATAAATTAAATACGGCGAACATCCTAGATGGACATGACTTCATGTGCATACCACACTTGGAACCCATCTATTCCGCTGTAGAACACGGCAACCAATCTACACGATTAAGCATGACGCCAAGAAATAACTACGAAATACCTTATATTTACCAATAGGTAACGGCAGTTGGCAGTTACTTATTGACAGACTAGTCACAAATAAACGATTATTATGGGAACCGCTGTCAATGAAGATACATTCCGGATAAACTGGAAAAGGGGTGGTTGAAGCATCGGAAGAAAAATCTTTAGCACTGGTGAGAGTGACCCATAACTACTTTTTAAGGGCTCAACAATAAAACCCAGTCTTTTTGTTATCTCAGACGGAAGGGGGAGAATTTGAACCTTAGATAAGTTTCACTGGTCGTATTATTTCACTTATTTCAAAAGTCATTCTACTTATGACTCAATTGATAACATTATTGTATAGCTAGATTCAAGAGCTTTCGACTGATCCCTCATTCATTCATATAAGATCTATAGTTCGGAAATAATTCCCTGTTGAGTGAAATCCATTATTGTGGATTATCCCTTATTTGGTTGCTTGAAACCAGTTGTTTTATTTGCATAAATTATGATGCATTAGGGTCACGTAGTTTGATTTTATATATACAGATGAATCAGATCACCTGAAACACACGGACAAAAAACACCAGATTTGGTGTTCTGCTGTAAGTGGTTACGAGGGTCAAATTAAGTGACCCATCCTATGGATGAACTGATCATACAATACTGGACGAGTATACTAGAGATTAACCACGTTCAAGGTCAACGTTAAGACTGAATCGGTACAATCATGTGAACCGAACAATCACAACCATGGTTATAACAAACAGGTAACGGGGTTAACTCAAGAACATAACAGTGTCGCAAGTGGGAGCAAGGATTCATCAACTCACATAAAAGTTGAGAAAGTTGTTTGGAAAATGCAACGAGGATGTTTGCAGGGAAATTATTAGTTTCAGAAGATTTTTCATTGCAAATCGACATCAGCTAGTGAAGCAATGAGAAAAGGGAGTCTTGGTTTGCAATGCTTCTCGATAAAGCATGTGTTCTGTCCAAGCTGTAGAAACATCGCGTAGCTGTCACCTTGGTTACAAAGTGATTGACTTTTAACCAGTGAGTCATAGCCCACTTTATCTAGCAAAGTGTACGTCAGACAGACGATTCATAGTCTAGTGAGCGAAACTGCATGTGGTCGGTAAATGAGATTTGTATGTTATTGGTATTTGTCCTGTGTCGGTGTAGACAGTAATACCAATTCTTGATACCTGTTTGAACTTCAGAACTCGTAATGAAGAGATAATGAACAAAGCTCTTTCTTTTTGGTTCTGGTGCACATCTTTCTAAGAAACAGTGAGCCTTTTTGAGCTAAGCGTAACTTCGTCCGGTGGATAGGAAGTGTATTACAGTTTGTGTGGGTCTTTACGAGAATGACAATATAATGCTTACAAAAGATGATAGGGCTTAACGGTCACACCATGAGAATCAGATAGGAGTGGTAGCATCTAGTAATAGTCGAGCAACTAGTCTAAGCAACACGAATTTTTGTGTCAGTGAGGGAAGTAGCATACTAATCAAGAACCTTAAATGGTGGTCAGAATAATTAGTGTAGCACTTTGAGAAGCAATTTAGCCGACCTGATACTTCAGCGATCTCATATCTAACGCACTGTGCTACAAATTCGTATAACATTGATTAACGTAATGAAGCAGAGGTCTGGAAAACACTCTTAGTACTGGAGCGCGATAATTCACCAGTTCCCGATAATCAACCTTCGAATATCTGTAAATGTGGGGAGATGGGATTGCATTCTGGACAAAGACTAAACTATTTAAGAATACATGACAGATTAATAGTGTTTCACTACTCTACAATGAGGTCAGTGTTGCGCTCATGTATAAAAATAATCTACGTAATGTACGGAACAATTATTGGCACCTTAGTCGATTATCAGTTGTATAGAGAGCATTTGCTAGTACTATACTTCCCAGATTTTTTTTACTATGTGCGGAATACAGATCCACAAGGAGCAAGTCATTTTCGTTCTAGTTATACGTGTATCGATCACGCATTCATTTTTCAACGAGTGGTTGAATATCGCCACATGTTGCAGGTTATTAACTCTTAAATGTCTTGGAATTAGGGGTACCTTCATATCATTGGATAGACCTAAGGTTCACAATTGTCTGTTACAAAAGTAAGTCTACGAGAAGTTTATTTATGTCTCTTTCATTTGTATCACGTCAGTTACCACATCTTGCTAAACCTTTTTAATCTTGTCATTGCAGACATCATCTTGACAGTTTTGTAGGAGATAGACTCTTTGACACTGAGTATGCGAACGATATCGTCATACCATACCACAGTACATATGCCTCTAAGTCACAAATGAAACAGTTGACAGCCAGTATGGAACCTGTGCTGCACTATCAAAGTGGAAAGCAGTTCAAGAAGACTGAAAAGAACCTGTGTCTGCAGTGATTCAAAAGCATCAGTGTTTCTCAGGAAGATGTACATCGGAGCCACAAGGAAAGATCTTTGTTCATCATCTCTTCATTACGAGTTCCGAAGTACGTCTGAAGTTCAAACAGGTATCAAGAATCGGTATTGCTGTATACACCGACACCATCGGCACCTAATTTCAGTATTGTCTACGCCACCTCACACACTATAACACATGAAAGAGATTAATGATACAGGTGTTATAAATCAGTTTCACAAGGAATATAAAGAGTTCCAACTTCTCTTCAAACCAAACCACAGGTACGTTCTTTTCTCATTTTAGAGATATAGAGAAGACCTACTAGCTGATCCTCTTTCTTCTATAATCTCATTCTTAACCTTTAAACCCTAAAAGCTAAGCCTTAACTCTGGAAGGAATCCCAAAGCCTTACTGAGTAAAACACTCCAAATTCTAAACCTTAGCGAAAACTGTAATAGTAATTTCTTGGCCTCTAGGAAGAATACCCGTTTCTGAAACATTCTACCTAGAAGGAAAGAATTTTCAAAGTTTTCGTATGTAAACAAATGACTTTGGTGGATCAGTTCATTTATAACGAGGAATCGGTAAGTCAAGTGAGTTCAAAAGTGAGTTAAAACTAAGGTGTTTCACTGAAGCTGATACTAAATTTGAAGCAGATTAATTAAGCAAGAGGTGTTCACTCCATTGAGGCTGATGTTTTAGAGTAGATTGACTCACATATGAATGTGAACCTTATCTCTGCACTGAGGCTATAATTGTATCGATCTCTAGAACATACTTGCGTAATGTGTGATAAACATAAGGGAAGCGGTATGCCACTAGCAGTGTGGCTACTATCATACTTTGAAAGCTCTGTAAAATATGTGAAAAACTGATTTGCGAGAAGCACACCCGGCTTATTCCAGGTCACGGGTGTCACTTTCTTCCGCATGCCTGAAAGTTACATGTATAGCAGGCTAACAATTGTTGTGTCTCTTCATATGGAGGCTGATTTCGAAGCGTTGGATAGGGTTGTACTTTTGTATTACCCTTTAGAGACGTTCGTTAACACCTGGTAGGCTTTATACTAAAACAACTGAAGTAGAGTAAGGGAATACAGCCACTTTTCTCTCAAACCAACAGTGGCGTTAATTATAGTTGACCGGTTTAGTGATCTCTTTAACTTTACCATTGAAAGCATTTTCGAAACAGCTATGAAGCAGGTCAGTAGTGATGGTGTAGAACTACTGACAGATGAAAAACCCTTTAGACTTCGACAGATAGGTAAACAAGCGAATTGATGTGGAAACTGGTATAAAAGTATATCTTTTCACGTTGCCAAACTTTGCACCAGCGTGCTAAGGAACAAGTGGATAGGAGAAATATTATGGTGGGTAAAAGTGCATGAAACCTGAGAGAATGAACGGATTAGGATAAAGGAAAATGTTCAAGGCTTCGAAGATGACAGAAAGTGTATACATCTGCGTCAAAGCGAGCGATTTCAAATAACATCACCCAGTCTCTAACCTGTGGTTTCTATCGTTTCGAGGACTCCTACTGTGCCGTCTAAACCTCTCTACATTGTCCCGACCAAAAGCTAAAGATTCCACGGAATAGTGCCACTTTTTGTTCTGGCCACTTCTAGTTATTTTCCAACCTTGATTATGCGGACAATATCATTTTACTGTGCGACAACATGCAGGTTATTCAATTCTTACTTGATCAATTGTGCTTTGAGCTGTTCCAGTGTAAAAGACTTATATAATTGGTAGTATTCCATGTCTGTATTCAACTTTGACAGTACACTGCTGGCAATGGGAAAATTTGTCTATCTGAATAGATATGAGTACTGGTGGGCACATATATGGATGAGACTTCCAACTGTATATCGAAAGCCACAGTGGCATACGCAAATTTCGACCCCCTTTGGCACTATCGCGAAGTTAGTCTGGTCTTAAAATATGGAATGTTCAACGTACATTTTAGTACGAGCATTTGTGTTTTATGCTGTGAAACGTGACATCTTAAAATAAGGGTGATCGACCTCTCGATATGTCCGACCACTCTTGTCCCCATAGGATTGGTGGGAGTCGGTGGAATCATCATGTAGACAATTTGGAGGTGGTGAGGCATGTTTGACTAATGAGGATCACCCCTCATTGCATGAAGTCATCTTGAAACACTGGCTTTGTGGCTTAAATGCGTCGGGAATACTATCACAACAACTCACTATTAATCAACCCCGGCTTTAGTTGGACGAAGCGGAGAGTTGGTTAGTGTATAGTTCGTCACCGTAGGATCAAGGATAGTTAGGCTGTATTAACATTTGCTAGTACCTGGAGATTTCTTGGAGGATATAGTTCAGGAGGTCAACAACTTAGTGACTTGATGGAATACGAAATGTGGCTAAGAATCGAAACTAATACCAACCCTGTAGGAGATTTCTTGTTTTTCCTATGATTGCAAAGTAAGATGAAAACAGTGAGTATCTTTTAGGAGGTAGCTTTGAGACTTTAGTTTCAACAATCTGTTCCCATACTTTTTGTTTCTCTCCCTCTGTATATCACTTCTATGTCTTTCCTAGTGTCATTATATTATTTAGTGTGTTACACTTCTTGGTACCTACTGGTTCCAAGTTCGTGTTCTAAATACTTAATAAATATATTCTCATGCCAGCTTTTTGGGTAAGCTCAAATAGTTGTGGCACATTATCCATGACTGATGCCTTCTCCGTCCATTTCGTTTTCGTCACTTTCTAGACAGACATGTGATGCATAGATGAGTTTAGGTCTGGTCAAGTCATTCCTAAGGATATTCTCATTGATTACTACTGTTTTGAGACTTCGAAAAATAATATAATTCTATTAGTTACCATTTAAGCAGAGTCTATGTTACTGTAATTATGTTAGTGTGAAGATAAGTATTTAATACTGAGTGAATCAACTATCTGAACTATCTGGTAGACTGGCTGTGTGACCCATCTTGGGGGCTGACTGAAATACACACATAACTACAATCCTTATTCTTCGCGCTTCATTCCGGAATACTAGTGAATTCTAAGCGCGAAATAATTTAATTCATAATTCAATTTCACAAACAACACAGTTACCAACCACTTAATCACAGTTATTATGAAGATTCAGAGTTAGTTTGCTTCACAATTGCTTTGACTTCTTACCTTGTCCACAGTCAGTTGGAATGAGTTTCTTAATATCAATCAGCTTTGATGAGGTTACAGGCATTCGTCGGGGTATACTAACTTTTGGCTATAGGTTACTGTTTTAACTATTGCTTCAACAAAATAGTGAATACCATGCCACACTTTATCCGGATGGGAAACACTGTCAAGTTCAGATGAATACTTAGTTATCTCCTTTGCAAATACAATCTAGATGTTTCCCTTTATAAAAGAGACAAAGCAGAGGGTACTGTTGGATGCGTCACAGTGTGGAACATCCAGTAAATCAACTGAAAAGGGATTTCAAGTTTTTCTTTCAGTCAAGCATGGAGAGGAATCGTAGCCGTTCGTTTCTGTATGCACTAAGTTACAGGTGTAAGTGCTTTGCCTGACGCGTGATCGAAAGAGCGACAAACCTAATTTGATCGAGAACTGTTTTTTTCTAGTTTTTTGTTTTTAGACAGCTTAGCTTAAATGCTGATCACTCAAGTGAAACGACTTACTGCTGTTACATAACTGTTCCGTTGATAAGACGACTTCGCCCTCAAACCTTTGCCATAAAGTAGGCAGTTTCTTAAAAACGGAAAGTAGCTAGCGACTTCCAGACACACATTTGACATTATCAAACTCGAAGAATAGAGGTCCTGAAATCCCTTCAAGAAGTTTAGTTTTCCTTAATTCTACATTGTGCAACTACTAATTATAAAATGCACACATTACTAGTTATTCACGGAGTGTGATCAATAATTAGAACCGCCCATCACATGTCACAAGAAGAGATAACAGATTACACCTCAAATAATTAACTCACGTTTAGATTGAGTAGAAGTGGAAATGTTGGACTTCGTGGAGGTGTCCTGGGCGTAAAAATACAAATGATGAAAATGTCCGCAAATTCAACTTTTTATACAAAAGTAAATAGGTCTTGAAAAACAGTACCCCGTTTAAGGAAAATAAATATTCGCTTTAATTCAAGTATTTAAGAAACATTAAGAAACTGGTCATATTCCTCGTTCTGGAATGCCTGTAGGCATATTGTGAATGCATATCCTAAGCTCCTTTATAACGTTTTAGAACCATACAAAGAAACAAACCTGAGACTTAAACAAATACACAGTATGAGACAAGCAGTTAATATATTTAAGGTATCATCACACAAACTGCACTGCAGTTGGCTCAGTTCGATCATATGGCTGTGAAGGCAGAGAATGTGAGGAGACTGAAGGTGTTTGACCGACAGTACCTTTGTAGGATAGGCCGGGTCGAGGTACCACCACTTTTGCAACGTAGAAGTGAGGCGTAGAGTTATGGGCAGAAGAGAATAGTCATTTAGTGGGGTTGTGAATTTTTCATCGACTGAGGTGAATGCCTAGTCACCGTCTGCCTTATCGCATAATGTTGGATGAAGTAGGTTCAGGTTAGAAAAAAGTGAGAGACAGCAAGACTAAAACGTGGTAGCAGTGCATGAAGTCATTAACACATGATCTGAGCCGCGTAAGGAAATGCAGACTTCCCGGTCAGGGTCCACATGACAGCAGACACTGGTAGTTAGAGACTAGGTAACATGACTCAAAATCGATCTCAATGTCGCAGATGGATTCACAGACTATCTTCAACCTAGTCGTCATGTCGAATTTCAATGTTCTCTTACTTTTTCCTACCCTCTTTTGACGACTTTCTACCACTTTTGACTGCTTTCTTTTTTATTTCTTTATCTTTTATTTTGACCCATTCTTGTTTGAGTTGCTGCTATGAGGTGTGTTTCGCAGTAATGCTAGGGGTCCTACGTCGGTATGGACAACTGTGGTATTTATACTAATATCATGAAACCACACTTGACTGGTAACTGATAGCTTACAAAAGCAGTTTCGAAACAGCAGGAAATTGCAACTACACACTTGAGTGTTACATAAACCACGCGTAATGTGACAAAATATTCATCTGATACAGATTCAGCAGAAAAGACGAGTTCTATTCACTGGCTTTGCAACTACTCATAATCATACACATTCGGAAAATAAATGAGTTAGTGCAGCCGCACTAGTTATCTTTGTATGCAAAAGATAATATGGAATACTTCAATAAATACACTTCTGTTTCCTTAAAAGGTTATCTTAGCAATGTTACATATCCTGATTTCATGACACTGAATTTCTGATGCACGATAATATTGCATATATATATATATATATATATATATATATATATATATATATATATATATATATATATATATGCATTTATGTCTCGTTGAACATTAGAAACTGGAATGGTAAAGTGAAATTCTTCAAGACAAACAGCTGAGTGTGAAAATGAGATTGACATATAGGACACTTTGTAAAGCGGTCTTAGTACCCTCACTGTCGAGATGCACTCGTAATGGTATTTTTGCTCTCCAACTAATCACTCCAGAAGGAGTGGGAATCTTCTAGTAACCCACCTCAGTGATAACTGATGATAATAATATGCTGTCTCCACCACTCAGGTGAGGTTGGTGGACACCAGGTTGGACAATGTTCCCCTTTTTTTCTGGAGTTCGTGTTGGTCGTAAATAAATGATTATCTAAGCACGGTTGTAGTAGGTGGTTGCCATTATCTTTGCATCCGGCTGACCCCGAAAGTGACACCTAATTACCCTTCTGCCTGCTCACTTGTGGGTTGAAAACACCTAAAACGACAGTCTGAGGCGCTTGGGTTCCAGAGTGGAAGGCTAGATAGTATTCGATAGAATGATCCTCCACTTCATCTGAATTGCGGACAATGGGTGTGTCAGCAGACATAATGGCGAGTTTTACTTCATTTTTTAGTCTTCACTGTGTTGTTCAGTCGAACAATATATAGGTAACTGTCAACTGGCGTCCAGTCGAGCAATGCACTTTTTGCCTTAGTGCTCAAAGCTATACCTAGGTATACAAGGCTAGGAGAACTATCCAGAATCCCGAAGGTTGCATTTTGCAGACTCATCACACTGGCCGAGTAAGTTTAAACGAATAACCGCACTTGGGTCCTGTAAGCGTGTCTCATAAACACAGCACACATTCATAGCCTGAGCTACTATAGTTTTTGCTAGCGAAGCTTGTTGGCCGATTTGACGGAGTGGACACTGAAAGCTTTAATGTGTAGTTTGCAGCGCGGTTTCAGGAGGCCGATGATGCAGTTCTGTGAACTCAAATCGTTGTTTAGAGCTGCAGAACCGAGAGAAATTAATGTAGGATTACTGACCGAGAGATGTGATGGAAGATTAGGTGAAAATGTGGAAGGTGGATAGTGATCAAAGGAAGCTTGACTGCTGACAGAGTTTTGAGGGCAGTTGACATTTCCCGTGTTCACACTGTGGAAGCTGGTTCTCAGTCAGGTACTTGAAAAACAAAGATTAGTGTGTCACTACAGAGCCCAAGGGACATTTACTGGAGGCTGGTAACATAATTTTATTTGCAAGTTTGGTATTTTAATTTATCTTTGTGAACTTGACTATGAACCCAAATTGCCAGCAACGATAAAGCGCAGAGTAGGGGGCCTGTGCTATATAGGGTTGACCTTTTCTAAGCCCCAAGGAAGCAAGCATAAGCGTGATACCAATGATCACCCATGAGAAACACCTTACTGCTGTTACATTCCCGTCCAGTCAGTAGAATAACCTCGTCCAGTTAGTTGACAATCAGTCATCTTTTTAACTCGTTCTTTTGTTTAATCTACTGCCTCTATGGTGCTGCTTGTCTGTTATTTAAAATGAATAACTTGGCTTAACAGATCATCCATCTAAATATGCAAACCAAGAATATCAGATTTAAGAAGTGAGTCGCTAGAAAACTGTGGGCTGCCACCGAAAGTCATTTATAAAATTTTGATTTGGTTCACATGAATACATGATAAAACGATACTCACCAAGACCTTATTAACAGAGTTTTGACAGAGAAAGTCCTGCGAGTTTGGTGATGTAGAGTTTATTGAGTGTGGCACAAGTACGCGCTTACGAAGTATAGGAACAGATCCGAAATCCTGAGTAACAGATCCCAAGGTTTCTGATAAGTCGTCGATCACGGATTTTGCATACTGATTCTTCAGAACGAGATTCGCACTGGTTAACGAAGGCTGGGAATTTGTACCACTTTCTGGAAACAACATGAAAAAATCATCAAGTTGAACTAGAATAATCCAAATCCAGCACACATAGCAAATGAAATACTATGTAGCTTTTTCCAATCAAAATGAACAGCAGTACGCGAACAAATATCTTTGAAACAGAACGAAACTGAGAACGTAGAAATTAGGTGTAGATTGCAGTATTCAGACAATGCCGTAAGCCAAGAAGGGGAAATTAGGTAGGTTAAGAGAAAGCACAACAAAACAGGAGTGAAACTTTAAAACCCTAAGCTATTAAGCAGCGCCTTTGCATTTGATGAGAAAATGTATACCACACACTGAACATTTATGCACTTGACACTTCACTTTTTCAGGAAGGTAAATATTAAAACAGACACTAAAAATCGTCTAACATATTTATAATTTGAAACAATTAGTCCCTCTTATGAATTTGGATAGTGTAATTAGAAGACGAATATTGTATGAGGGGAAAGTGTCTCAGAATGACTACGACAGCAGTAGGATTCACAAACATCGATAAGCGCAGATGGCAGACGACCATCATCCACTGCAAAACATCATATCACAGGATTGATATTAAAACAGCCTTTACAATTTTGTATGGAAACAGTCAGGGGCGTATACTTAAGTTTGTTGAGGCGCTAGCCATAAATAAATACAATCGCGTGCGCAAAAACAGTATGTCCTTACGTTGGGCCTACCTACCTATCGTATTACCAAAATTGTTTTTAAATCTTATCTCTCTTTCTTTCATTATCTTTCATATTGTTGAATTCCTTTATGTCATATTTATCCTTACCCCACTTCCATTTTTCATATATAATGCCTTAACAAGTAAGCGTGTGATCAAATTATCCGAAATGTATGGCACTAATACATCACATTTTCCAGATAATCTACGTCTTCTAATTACATTATCCACATTTATAATTGGCTGGTGTATATAAGAATCGCATTTTCTGGTCCTGTTCTAAGTCAATAGTGTAAATTGAATGGCATCCACCACCCACTGTGTGAAGCTACAGATATGCCCAGGTTTCAACACAGTAAATTCCATCCACATATCTAAACCACACCTTAGGGTTAAGATTAAATGTTCCAACAGCTATAAGCCCTTAACGCCCCACCAAAATATGTCTCACAACTTGGGATATTTGAGACCCCTTCATTTCTCCCGTCTACTGAAACGTTCAACATTGAAATTTGAAAACTGTAGAGATGAAGATACCAAGAGTAACATTATTCTGCCGGAACAGACGTTAACTTATTTTTGTCACACCAAGAACAGCATGAGTCAGGTGACTTGAGACAACTAAACCATGAGCCTAAGTGGAAATGTCTTACAAAAAGTAGTCATCATTGGAAGTGAGTACCAACAAACTTACGTGTCGTACCTAGTGGGTCAGGACTTTTTGCTGACTTCCACATACGCTTTGTAAACCACCTGCGTAACTTCCGCGGGCTATGATCGCTTGATTTAGAACCGATTTGCGATACTGTCTGAGGTCCATTAGATATCAAAGAGGGGCTGCCAGTGCGAGATGGTTTATTTCGTGGAGTTGAGAGTCTTCGAATTAAGCTGGTAAACAGCGACTTTCGGCATGTATTTGAAACACCAGTAGGAATTGATGGTCTTTTATTGCTCCATTCTTCATGGTGAATATCAACAAACTTCGTATGAGGAACAGATCCATTTGAATTTACAGAACTACATGTAGATGGATAAGATGATGCTGGATTCATGGATACAGGCGTATTCAGGGTCCTTACACCATTTTTGTTATTAGTTGTGAGAACATCCAGTTTATTCGGTGAGGAACTATTCTTCCTACTGAATGGCATTTCCACTCCATCTGAGACACATGGAGAATTCATTTTTACAGTAACGGTTCTAGTTCGCAGTTTAGTTTCCTCGAAAATATCACGGTTTGGTTTGCCAACATATATACTGTCCTTCAATCTCAGTTTGTCCGCAACTGGGGTGAAAAAAGAAAGGACCTAGATCCGGCTACCATATTTCATTTTCTAATGTGCGTACCTCAGACTGCAAAAGATTCCGTCGACTGTGGGGCGTAAAGTGATCATCTAGTAAACGGTAATGAATGCTGAAATTCCAAGCTTACCTTCTTTACCAACTGATACCTCTTCCTGCATAACATCAAAACAAGTATAACACGCGTCTGGAGGAATGAAAACAGCGCTACTGTTCAACACCCAACATGATCAATACACTTTAAACTTGGTGTAGTAGAATTAAAGAACGATGGTTCCTTGGTTCTACGTTTGTCTTATTGGAGTACGTTGTAGGTTTGATATGGTCACAAATGTCTACCTGGTTCCGAAAAGCTTGAAAGGATAGATATATTCGATTACTTAATAACCTGGTCTCAATGTAAGATTACTCCAACTGATCTGTAGATGACGGAAAGCTTCTGAAGTACAGCCCATCGGCACCACACGGATCTAGATGTACATCTAACCTCTTTCTGAAATCTCCAGGCGATTGGGCTGTAAGGAAGGCTCTTGAAGGAAAGTAGTTCAACAGTTTACAAACACCAGCTGCATACTAGTTAGCACGGATCTTCTCACGTACTCTCTCGTGCTCTAATCTTAGTTGATAATCCCTGAGGCGTCAATTCCGATTACAGCTTGAGAGGGGTCTGTCTGGATGAAGGGGATTATGGGCAATTTAGTACATCGTGATCATATTCCCCCTGTACTGGATGCAGCCTAGGAAACAGCAAGCGATCTACGTAAGGTATATACTATAACCCAATCACTTTCTTCGTAGCTCTCCCCCGAATCCGTTCCGGGATGGCTGTATCCTTCCTCAAATATGGCAACACGACGAGCGAATTTTTCTCAAATGAGGGCCAATATACTGTCCATACACTATGATGAAAAGAGGAGTTAGACTCCATAAAGTTCATGAAAGAAAATTTAAGACCCCCGTAGGACTTGTTGTCTGCAAAGCGACAGTGGATCGAGGCTTCTAGGGTATCACTGCATGTTACTTCCAGATCTTGAACCACACTATAGTGATAGAGATTTATTTCATCAGGGGAGTAAGAACTGGAACTGTTTATATTTGTCAACTGTCATAATCTTACAACATTACCTCGCTAGCTAGTTCTGTAGGTACTAGCCGGCTGTAAGCCCGGATAAGAAGGGAAGGTCGGGCATAAGGCTAACAACCCTACCTCGAAAACGAATCCAATCGCTAAAGAAACTTCAAGCACAAAGAAAGTATAAAAATAAAAATAAACTTATTCCTTGCTGGAATCGGAGAGACGAAATGTCGCCGGTTGGTGAAAGCCTTCAGGAAACCAATTGGCAGATGTGTCTTCTCTTCTCTGGACGAAGCATAAATCAGAAAAGTGACATGGAATATCCGCTCAAAGTTCGGAGCTGGTTGGTAAGGCCGCACAGATTGCACGACAGATGAGGAGGTATGGCATAGAGGCGCTAGGAATCTATGAAGAATCTGCAGATGGAATGGAAGTGGACTCTCAAAACAACCAACTTAACAGTCAATAATCTACTCTAATACTGTCACCCAGACGACAATCACGAGAACAGCACAGTGAGTTTTCCGGTGGCTATCATCACGTCCCCAACAGCACCGAAGGCTCTCTCTCATACAGTGGGAACCAATCTCCTCCTCCAGGATCACCATCATCACAGCAAGATTCAACTCGAAAGGAAGCAAAGTCACAATGATACAATGCTACACTGCACCATGCTATGCACCTACAAATAATGCAAGTGAAGAGAAGAAGGAGGAATTCTACAGACAACTGTAATCAGCACAGGACAAGACACCACTCCAGTTGGTGACATCGAAATTCTAATTGGTGGGGTGATATGAATGCGAAAGTGGGAGTGGAGAACACAGGAAGAGGATTCATCATGTGTTGGTAAGTGCTCGGTGAAATGAAGGAGAATGTAGAACTGTTTGTAGACAGCTGCTCATTTAATGACTTGGTGATTGGAGGTAGTGTGTACAAACACAAGGATATTGACAGAGCGGCATAGATTTCACCAGATGGATACACCAAAAATGAGATCAACTTCATTTAATCTCAAGGAATGGAAACGCAGTCTAATGGCCACAAGATGAGAAAGGAGAACAGATGTAGTTTCACACCACCGACTATCCTTTGCAAGAAACCTTCAAATCGAATTGAAAGCCTTCACAGAAGTTGATGCTAGAACACAATTCAAGTTTAACGCCCAGAAACTGAAGGACGGAATTTGAGAGGATTTGTTCCTGCCAGCCATTAGGACGAAATAGGAGACATTGATCAACATTCCTGGAGAAAGGTGATTGGCAGAACTGTGAAACTCTTTGAAAGCTATGTGGGAAGAAACCTGCATAACCGTATTAGGAAGGAAGAGGAAACAAGACAGTGAATGGATCTCAACGGATACATGGAATGTGATAGAGAAAGAAGGGAGAGGGAGATGGTGAAGCAGATGCAGTAGTGCAGTGCAGTTCAGTGAACAAGGAGAAGGGGGACTGAACACCACCTATAAAACACTGAAGGGAGAAGTGAAGAGGATTGCACGGAATGACAAAAGACACTTCTACAAGACACTTGGAAGTTTAGCAGAACAGGCTGTGGGTAGGAGAGACAGAGACCTGAAAACACTGTATCAGGTGGTCAGGTTACTATCTGGGAAGATATCAACACAGATGAAATCAGTGAGATATAGTAAAGGAAATCTAGTTAGCCAAGAGAAGAAACAAATGAAAAAATGGGTTGACCACTTCAAAAAGTTCTTGAATCGACCAACACCACCACCTGCAACTCATCCAGAAATACCACCAGCAGCTATGGAATTACCAGTGAACATAAGTTCTCCGACAAAAGCCGAAGTCCTGAACACCGTAAAGCTGCTGAAATTTGGGAAAGCAGTAGAACGGTATGGAATTCCACCAGGAGCACTGAAAACAGCCACGGAGACAATGGCTTGCATGCTGACACCACTACTGCAGAAGGTTGGAAGTAAGGAATGAAAGATACCTGGTGATCGATTGAAGACGGATTACGTTGTCAAACTCTCAGAGAAGGGAGACCTAATTCTCCGCAAGGACTGGCGCGGAATCATGCTTCTGTCCACTCCCAGCAAAGTAGTAAGCCGCGTCATCTTGGGAAGGCTTAGAAGTACCCTTGATTCAAAATTACGACAGGTACAGGCTGACTGGATTCGGGAGGAACAAATCATGTGTGGATCATACTGTGAAGCCACGCTTTCCATCATCATGGAACAGGGCATAGAATGCAGTCAACTCTCCTTCTAAACTTCATTGATTTCGAAAAGGCCTACGATTGAGACATCGACTGAGAAGTGATTTAGCGGGCCGCTGCCTCAACACTGTGGTTCTAGTCAGTCTTTTTTACGTGCCTCGCTCACAACGCCTTCGACGTCCATCGTTGAATCATCTTGAGCAAGCGATTCTTATTGACCTACAAGACGAAACCCCACCTATTCGGCTGGTACTTGAAGGACCTAATTTTGTGCGTACGCTCTGTCCGCAGGTCAGCAGAAGGTGTCCTGAAATCCGTGGTAAGAGTTACACAGTAGCAGCCCCCTGTGGTCAGGGCTAGGATATTCTATGGTTGCCTTTTTTAACCGTTTGACGTAGTAGGAAGATTATGGTCACTAGTCGGTGGGACTGATTGTAAAGTAACAATATAAAGTAACGGGACGTTGGCTAAATACCGCACCCCTTAATTCTCCTTCAGACGAGAGCTTAAGTAGATGGCTACTGCACACTTTTCCGGGTTCCCCGTTTTTTTGGAAAGTTGTTATATCAGCGGCCAGCATTTCTTTTTTGCAACTACCTTGAGTAGCCACGTCTCCGCCATTAATATCATTCGGCGGTGTGATTGACCCCGAAGCAACCTAGTTTTATATAGTTTGTCTGTTTCCCCCTTAAACTGCCACTAATCTAAGAAAAATGTTCTGTACGGGGAATGGGCTAGCCAGAATACTCAGGGGGAGTGCGTTCACGTTCTAATTTGGGATCTCTGCTTCTTAAGGCACCATTTGAACTCCGTTTTCGGATTTTCCTGATGGCTTCCAGCTGAGACCGTAATAGTAATAACAAATGATAATTTCACACAACTAAGTGTACATGAATGCACGCCGCTTTTACACGCATGATCATTGTGGTTTAGAGCCATAAACACAATGAAGCTGATTATACTGATTTAGTACAAACCTAACTGTTTGATGACTACAGGGTTCTTCATGGATGGACGGTAATTATACTTATTCCCCGTACTTCCTATGGCGTCCTCATAAGGTCTGTTTCAGTTACGACAGTGTTAGTAGGGAAACTTGTAACCTGGTAGGGGTAGTAATCTGGCTTTTCAGCCCCTAGGATGTAAGTAGTGACAGTTCACAGATGTCCTACGCATCACAAACACCTAACCACCGTCCAGCTATGCATCATAATTATCCCAGTCAATACCTTGGGAACAGATGTATACCATTTGCCGAAACTTCCTCACTTATGAACCCTACCAAAATTTCTTTCGGATCCCGCACAATATGTACGGCCCATGGTGTTTAGGCTTGTTCAACTGCCTGATAACACAGGGCTGGAACCAACTTCCTCGGCCTACACCAGTCATAAACCATACCTTAGGCCAACAGCAACGAAGAGGTGCGCGTTGACAATCTATAAGTGCCGTGAAAAACTAAGTAATCACATACTTGTGAGGGACAGAAACCCACTAGTCACACCGACTCACCACACTGCTGAGTCCCGTCACTTCCGAGACATAGGTAGCGCATCGTCTAGGGAACTGAATACCAGAAATTCTTCCCTTCACCGAGGCTCAAGAGACATACTAGGTTGCTTTGCTAGCCACAGTAGCCTTTGACGCTTCTACTTATTAATGCCGGCTCGTTACTTAATAAAATATCCGATCTTAGAACAATAGTTTTGCTAGCCAAAACCCACTGCACTATTAGTTACTGAATCATGGCGTACTGACTCAATCTTATACGTGGACCTGTGTATAGATGGTTATGCTCTGTATCGCACTAATCGTGACCACGAGCGTGATGGAGGCTGTTTGATCTATATGTGTAGCTTTGCCACCCCAAATAAGATTGAAGATGATATCTTCAATGATCTA